TTTTATGCAAGCAAGAAATGGATCTTATTCTAATTGGCGTAATTCGAAGCTTTTTCCAAAATGCGAGAAATTCGCGAATTTTGAAATTGATTTATAGAATGCGCGAATTTCTCGCGGTAATCATTTTTTAATGCGAGAAAAGAAGAAAATATGCGAGATTCTCGCGTTCTCGCTCTGTAGTGAAAACACTGCATACATGTATTGTTATACAGTTAAACCTACATGCCCCTTTAGCATTCTTCAACCGAAAATTAACTTCCAAGAATGCGAGTTTCATTTTGACAGTCTACTATGGTTGGAATGCGAGGGGAGTTTATGAGTAGATAAGTGCTGAAGTTTTTTAATTGGGGGAGGGGTAGTTGTCACTTATGGTTAATGATTAGTGATTACAGTGCTTCGAACTTAAATCTTGGAATAAAATTCTTAACAGAAAAACAAACGAAACTGAAGTTTCTGAACCAGTAGATCTTCCGGATGAAAAGATGCCAGGTTATACAGCAGAAGAAATAGAAGACTGGTGTCGAGCCACTGAAAATGACCTAGGATTTCAAATTTTATAAGATGCTGAAATTTTGAATGAAGATCAGAACTCCACAGATGAAGAGGAAGAAGTAGGTGATCAAGTTCAAGATAGTGGACCTTCTCAGATAGAAGCAAGCAATTCATTAGATATTGCAATGAATTGACTAGAACGTCAAAATGATGTTGATCCGGTGCAGTTGATTTATTTAAAAAGAATTAGGGATACGGCTGCTCAAAAAAGATCATCCTCTTTGAAACAAAAAATTTTGCTGGATTTCTTTGGCAATGAAAAATAAAGAAAAATGTGGTAAAATCAGTAATTGACAAAAAAAAATTATGAAAAGTTGAAATATAATAATTCAAAATTAAAAAAAAATTTAAAAATGGGAAAAAAAAATTTTTAAACTCGCCAGAGCTATTTTAGATAGTACTCCCAGTCCTAAGCCTAGAAAAAGTGTGAAGGGGAGTTAGGGCATAAATAATAATCATTTAAACTAGATTTTAAGCAACTTTCCAATTATCTGAACTTTTCATTATTCGAACCACGTTTGGTCCCGAGCAGTTCGGATAATCAGCGTTCCACTGTATTTGTAAAAATTTTATTTTCTAAATTTGTAAGTACTTTGTTTTCGCTTTTAAAATAGAAAAAATCTCTGGAGCATATGAATAGAACAGTGAAAATATTTATAGACTTGTGAAAGTTGTAAGTCCAATCACTGGATTTAAATTACAACTTTAATTTCTACAAGTATATGTAAAGAATATTTTGCCACTATTCGGCACTTTTGCCGAATATTTGGCTAAACATTCGGTTGAATATTCGACAAAATATTATTTTGAAAAATATTTTTCGACAAAGCTCTTTTTGGGGGAAATTTGAATAGATTTAATAAAGAATAATTTAACACCATATTTTTTACTATACATTATTAGAAATTGCTTTTAAAGATATTCATTAAGTTCTAAATCTTGTTATAATCTCAAAGACAAAGAATTGAAACTAGGTAACTTTATACTAAGTCATGAGTTTAGTAATGCTGATTTTTTAAAATTACATTCAGGAAAGTCAATTTTTTTTTTTTTTTTACACATTATGTTTTAAAAATTGAGAACTTTTTTTTATTTGTTTCATTTTTGTTGGCTTTTCTGTAATAACTCTAATGTAACATTTTAACAGAGTGTTTCTAATAGACTTTATTCTTTTATTGTCTCTTTTTCCCTATATGCTGAGACAGGTAACAGGTAGCATAGAAAACTGTGATTCTCAACGCTAAAGTTATATTTCAGACCAAAGAAAGAAAAAAAAATTCTGTTTCTCTTTAGCTTTTTTGGTTAGCTCTTCAATGTTGGTTAATGTATACTTCTTCTTATTATTGCAACATTTTTAAAAGAGCCTATCTAATGAACCTTATTCTTTTATGGCCACTTTCGGCGTTGAAAAAAGTTAAATTGAGATTTTTAGCATTAAATCTTTCATCAAAAAATTAAGAACGGTTTTTGTTTTAGTTTCTATCTAACTTTTCTTTTTTAAAATACTTTTTCGGTAGATGGTTTTATTAGACTTTAAACTTCAATTTTTCTTGAAAATATGGTAATTTAAAAACTGAGATGTTTAGCTTTAAATTTATTTATTTTTTTAAAAATAAGATCAATTTTTATTTTTTTGATTTGCTTTTTGTATATAATCTGCCTTTTTGTGGGCGTTGTCATAATAGTGCTGCTAAGATGACTTTTTTAAAGAACTAAGATAATTTTTTTTTCTATTTTTAATTTTTTAAACTTTAAATTTTTTTAATAGCTGTTGGTCAGTTTTTTATTTATCTTAAATAATTTTAATTATCGTAAAATCTAATTATCTTAAATATTTTAATTAAAGTTTTTTTCCCCTTACCCCATACCAAGTCCTGCAGTGGACTGATCGTTAAGACACAGTTCCAAGCAGATCACCGAAGTCAAGCATCACTGGCTGTGGTCAGTGTGCGGGTGGGTGAACACTTGAATCAGTCTGCGCAGGGACCGAGGGTGCGTGGTATTGATCCTCGTTAAGTTGCTCTACTGTAAAGTACTTGACTTCTCGTGCAGGTCGCTGGGCTACCGAAGTGGGGGATGCCATCCCCTCTGCAGGGGATCAAAATTCTGATGGCATGTCTTCGGATCATCCTCAGAGATGTTTCACAGACCGCCCCTAATAGCCCATTGTGCAGCTCTAGTGCGATGTACATGAACAACAACTATCCTATACCAAAAATACAGCTAAGTTTTTATTATTTTTTAATAATGACTAAACTTATTTATTTGTAGAATATAATATTTATTAATAATTTCTTTAAAAAACAGAATGTTGCTATTCGGCCAATATTTTTGGTCAAATATTCGATATTCGGCCAAATAACTATTTGTTACATCCCTAATTTCCACCCCTATGACCTTGTGTTATGCTTAGAAAATAATTTTGATAACCGGTTTACTTACGATTCAGTTTCAGAATTTGAATCTTCTGTAGAATTGGCTTCAGTAGTGGTAGCAGTGTCAGAGTAAAATATGGTAGGAGCTGCTGTAGACTTTAACCATCTTCTTCCAAATTTTTCATGATCAAAGCAATCAGCTTTAAAATGCCTGGAGCATACTTTTGGAGAGTTACTGGGAACAAAATTTTCCCTTCCTAAATTTTTAACCCATTGTGAACATCTTATTGGGTCTGTTGGAAATCTACAATATAAAGAAAGAATGTTCAGGTTATCAGCCAGACTTAAACTTTGGTATTTCAAAAGTAGTATGATGGATCAAGAGCAAACCACGCAAAGAGCATTATTAATTAAACATTATATAAGTAATTACTAACTCTTATATTTCTTAAGACCTTCATATGCTTGACACAGAACTTAAAATTAGTGTAAATAGTTTTCTTCAAACATTATTATTTTGCAATCTTGACTAACTTACTACGATCTTGCACATTAAAAAGCACATAAATTTTTTTTCCTTATCAATAAGTATTAACCCATTAAAATTCTACATTAATTTAGCAGTGGCATTTATTACATTTAACATAAAAGTTTTTATTTGACATTCAAATTACATGACAAAATATTTGAATAATTACTACAAATTGTGTGCAGTGTGAATAGTTTCTTTCAAACGTTATTATTTTGCAATCTTGACATGACTTACTACGATCTTGCATATTAAAAAAGCACATAATTTTTTTTCCCTTATCAATAAGCATTAACCCATTAAAATTCTGCATTAATTTAGCACTGGCATTTATTACATTTAACATAAAAGCTTTTATTTGACATTCAAATTACATGACAAAATACTTGAATAATTACTACAAATTGTGTGCAGTGTATATAGTTTCTTTAAAACGTTATTATTTTGCAATCTTGACATGACTTACTACGATCTTGCACATTAAAAAGCACATAAATTTTGTTTCTTTATCAATAAGTATTAACTCATTAAATTTCTACATTAATTTAGCACTGGCATTTATTACATTTAACATAAAAGTTTTTATTTGACATTCAAATTACATGACAAAATACTTGAATAATTACTACAAATTGTGTGCATTATGAAGCGTATTCTTGCACAAAAACATGAGTCCGTGTAAATATAAAATCATTCACTTTTTTTGTCTAAAAGAATCAAATTATAGAGTACAAAAGTACAGAGGTTGTACTGTTTGTCAAAGATAGGTACTCTGACCGCCACTAGGTCTGAGGCAGTCTGGTGCTATAGAAACAAGAAGATGGGATTTTAGGGAGGGTGGCTTTGATGAAGAGGTCTTCTTTTCTTTCGCGGAAACCAGTCCTAAAGAGGGACCCCGCATCCCTACTTGAAATAATCATACCGCGTTACCACAGTCATCGCCACAGCTCCAGACGAATGTCTGGCAGAGTACCAATCGTAGACAAACAGTATATCTCTACTCTATCTGTTCTTTCTTGTGTTCTGAACTTATTTAACAGGGACTGTCAAAATTTGTAAAATTGTTGGAGCCAAGGAAAATTTTTTAGGAACTTATAGAATTGCTGTTACTTGAAATTAAAAAGAAATTAGCTTCTCATAGACATATTTGACCATTTTTTAGTAGTAGGAGTCATCTTTGGGTTTTTAGCATTGAATAAGTTAAATATTAAATTTAAAAAAAATCAAACTTAGCAATAATTCTAAAAAATAAATCTTTTAAATTGTAATTCATAAATCTAAATAAAGCAAACTATGAAATAAACATTACAATAGTTAATATTATTTCCCTAAATGCAAACAATAAATTGGATATTAACATTGCCTTTGAGTTTCGGCTTTAAGATACTATAGATATTGAAATATCAATAAATACAATTTCGACCTTTTTTGTAATGAAACCTCTTACTTATAATATTTAAAAACAATAATAAAATGTAAAATAATTTTCATAAACTTTACATGATCAGGACAAAATAACAAGAAGCTTTCTGACAAAGAACTCTTGTTTTTATTATAGGGTGACCTGGGGTAATTCCTGATCAAAAATTGCAAACATCTATTTTGTGAAAAAACTATTCAAGATAGAATTTTAATATTTACTGGAAGTTTGAGGCTATATGAGATGAGTCCTATGCTATCTTCTTTTGCTTGAAAATCTAATTAGCATTTAAAATATTTTAAATTTTTAGTGATCAGGAATTACCCCTTCTCTTGATCATTTCTGGGGTAATTCCTGATCACTTCTGCGGTAATTACTGATCACCAGTTTTTATAGTAAAGGAGCTGTTTAAAAATAATTATACAATGGTAATTAACAAATAAGGCATCAAGATCAAACAAATATATCAAAAAGATATGTTTAAGGAGCTAATAAAACGATTTATTTAAAAAGCAAGAATAAAGATTAACACTTTGAATTTTCCAAAAATCTTTGCATCATGTCATACATTTTAGACAAGCAGCCAACTCATTCTAATGTTCTGCTGAAACATAAAAAAGAGTTCACACATGGGTTTCTTTTGCTGGATTTTGTAACTTCATTAAGTGAGAGTGTAAAGTTAAGTAAGGTATGTCAACAGCTCTCACACTGAAATTTTCATTTTCAATCATTATAAAAAAATTCACTAATCTTGCTTTCTAGAGGCTTAGTTTCCTTTTTAGGCTTATAATTTCTCACCATATTTATATTCGGTAAATTTATAAATTTAAAAATTATTCTAACAATGTACACACATAAAATTAAGATAGAAGCAAGGTAAGATGGTAAGACAAACCAGAAATGGTGCAAATCAGAACACATTTGTCTTGTATACAGTTGAAAACAAATTTTGCGATTACAGTTAAAATATATTTTATCGTTGCTCCACTTAATAAATATGAACTGTTATTTAAGAAAACACAATCAGCTCTTTATTAGCTATTTTTAATACTATTTATAAAAAGAAATGACAATGATCAGGAATTACCCCAGTGATCAATAATTACCCCATCTGTAGGGGGCAACATTTGATATAGTTTCCCATAATCAATTATAATGTTTACAGTAAATGTGAAACAATTAAGCAAAAGATTACACTATTTTCATATCAAAGAAAAAGAAAGTAACTCAAAATATTCATTATTAAGAGAAGAAGGGGGATCTTTGCAGAAATATGCACATTTTAAAAACTATCTTTGAAAAGGAAAATACAGAAAGCAGTTTAAAATATACTTATTTTGTTAGATTAAACAAAAAACTATTATTAAGTAAATGTAGTTATACTTCAGTAAAGTGTACAAGCATTCTTGTCCATGTCTCAAATTTTAAAAAAAATAATTTTTTAATAAAACTTTTTAATAAAACTTTTAATAAAAATTTAATAAAACTTAGGTGATCATTATTTACCCCAGAAACAGAGTGATCGTGAATTACACCGGGTCACCCTACCTATTAGATATTATAAAATGAGCAAGAGATTTTTTGTTTTGATATCAGAGGGAGGAAAATGAAACCCGAAATTAAGAATATCTTGCAAAATGCAGCAGAGTTGCACATAGCAAAACTCTCGCCGTAACATGCTCAGTAGACTCACAAGTAATTAATGAAACATACAAAAACGATTAGCAATTTAGATACTCTACTGACTGACAGTAAGCCAAAATGGATTGGAAATGTGGTAAAAACATTGAATAGAACATAGTGAAAAGCACGCTTTTGCATCATACATTGCGAAAATAGACACAATAAAGAAAAAAATCCCCTGTTCAAAAACGTAAAATTAAGCACTTTTTAAAAACGCTTAAAGAAAAAAGCGCCTTTAAAGGCTGTTAAAAAACGAAAAGAAGCACCTTTAAAAAACGCAACACACTATGCAATTGAATAAAATATTCGGAACGTTTTTACTACAAGAAAAAAATATAAGTGAATTAATTATTTACCCATCATAGCATATATTTTTGGAAATATCACTTTTTCCGAATATATTATGACCTTCTACACCATTGATTTGCACTTTCACTGATATTTTACTTCCCTTAAGTTGAAAAGACAAAAACAAATAATATTTGTCGTATTGATAACCTTTTTTTTTCTAATTACTTGATGATACACACTCTTGTGCTAAGCAATTCTCAAAATATAGTTGCAGAGTAACAATGGACACATAACTTTAACATAACCAGGGACATACTGCTAGTTATAATAATCTAGGACAAACTGCTAGTTATAATAATCTAGGACAAACTGCTAGTTATAATGAAAACTACTGCAACTGTGGTGACTGGCAATAACCTATGACTTAGACATATGTCTTTCATTTGTTTAAAAATAATTTTAAGCCAATAAGCACAAAGGCTATTGGTTTGGAATCATTTTTGTTTAGTGTGGCGTAACTACCACTACGAAAATTAAACATCATTTCACTAGTATATAAGACATGCTAACTTGATTCAATCTTAAGGTACCTTTGCATGGATGAAGGATAGCATTGTTTAATGGTCTTTTCTCCACATTTAGAAAAGGTTTCTCAATCTAAAAATTTACATGAGGAGGTTTTGAAGGAAAAATTCCCATATTTAGGTCTGCAGCAGAATAATATGCAAGTCTTAGCTAAACTTATAGCCTGTGATAAACTAAAATAACATCATAGAAGGGGACCAACTGGAAAGGTATAACTTGTAGTCACCCAGCTGCAAACCTCAGCTTGTTTTTTTTTTGTTTCTTAAAAAAAAACTCAGCAAGTTTACTTTGCTGATTGTAGTTGGTGCTACAAATCATGATGCTGATATGTTCTGGTTAGGAAGTAAACAAAACCAGATTAGGAAGAGGGTATTTAAAAAAATTAAGAACACTCTAATAAATACTTGTAAATTCTTTAAAAAAATAGTCCTTGTGCCCAGCTAACTAAACAGTACCTGAAAGAATTAGAATAATTCTAAATATCATACTATACTGCTGCTTTTCTGACCTAATTAAAAGCCATGATTGTTCAAACATATATCATTTCTTATTTAGAAATTCTTTGTTCTTGTCTCTATTAAGGAGATAGAGAATTTATGTTTAAAATATGAGTTTGCTTTAGTAGAAAGGGACGCAAAATTCGTAAGTCCTGGATGCTTAGAACCCGTAGTTTTAAAAATATAGCATAAGATAAATAGCACTGAGATTAATCATATAAAAAAAAAAAGTTGCAACTCTGTAATAAATCTGTTCAGATTTTTATGTTTAAATCTGTAAGATTTAAACAATAAATGATATCTCCGTGAAACTACCACAACATATTAAATAAATAAATCTTAATAAAAAATACAATATTTAATAGTATATAAAGTAAAGAAAAACTTAAATATACACACTTATGAAAAGTTATAGGACTGCCTTTAACTTGTCTTGATTTACACTTTTTAACACAGCAATTCACTGGCATTTTCAATTAACCATAGAATTGTTTAAGTGCAACGATTATTAAATTTACAAAATTAGTTACAAAAGTTATCGTAATCATTAAAATTCAACGAGCTGAGTTTTTAAATGTCTATTTCTGTAAAGTGTCTATTTCTTTAAATGTCTATTTCTGTAGGTAAATGTCTATTTCTGTTAATCTTTTATTCAATTCCGTCTCCTAAAAATTTTTTTAGACTTTAGTGTTATGTTTTGTACATAAAGTGTATTAGGAAAAAGGTAAAAGGTTCAAGTTAATACAGCCTTTTCTAGCAATAAATTAGCTGGACAGAAATAGAAAGCTGAAAGGGGACTGATGAATAATAATCAGCATATCAAATTTGATGGTTGATGATAAAATTTGTTTATAATTCCTTGTAGTTTTCGCGGTAAATTTGAGTCATTTTTATCCTGATTTTGTTATAAAAAGTTTTGATTAAATTTTTGGTTATTAAATTTAAATTTCTCTTTTAATTCTTATATTTGTGCTCAAATATTTCTTACCCAGGAAAGATTACAGGTAAAATATAACTGTTATTGTTGATTCTATATAAAAAAATTTCTTGTTTTGAACTTCGTTTTCAGCTATACAAGATTTCAAGTTTTTTGACTTCCTTGTCTCTTTGGGAAAAATTTTGATTGACCCCCTTAAAAAATTACTTAAAGAAAATATAAATTGTAATAAGTATTTATATCTTTATTTGATAAATAAGATTTATAACTTAAATGATATGTTAACAATTGATTCAATTATACCTATAGAGGAAAACTTTGCTAGCTTGGTAAATCTTCTGTTTGTCATCCTAATTAAGTCTATTTATGTATATGTTTTTATTTATATGTATATATAATTTGAGATTGAAGTATTATACAATGTTGTGTTAATCCAAGTTCGCCTTGATTCTGCTTATAAGCAAATAATGCAGTTTTTTCACTGTATATGTTTTCTTTGATAATTGTAAAATAGATTTCTGTTATATTTTCATTTTTGTAAGAATGTTTTTATAATGTGCGTTAAAATAATTTCTATATTTTTATTTGTTGAAAATGGGATAATTTATTGTTTACAATATTCATTTTAGGCTCATTATTATGACTGAAGAGAATATATCTTTCCCATTCCCTTTTGAGCCTTATGATGTGCAAAAAGATTTTATGAAGAACCTGTACAGTGTTTTGAATCAAAGTAAAGTTGGAATATTTGAGAGTCCAACTGGTACTGGTAAATCCCTTAGCATTATTTGTGGCTCCCTAAAATGGCTGAAGGATTTTCAAGAGAGAAAAAAACAAGAACTTAAAAACATGTTTGAGGAGAAAGTGAATGAAAGTGATGATGATTGGTTTAATGATTTTTTAGCAAAGCGGGAGAAGACATACAAAATGCAAGATGCCAAAAAAGAATATGAATCTTTAATTGAAATTGAAAATAGGATTATGAACTTAAGAAAGATTGAAAAAGGCAAGAAGAAACCAGAAGTTAAGACTAGTGTATCTTGTTTTAAAAGGCAAAAACATAATGACAAAATTGATATTGAGGAAGAAGCAATTGAAGATAACTTTATTGTTGATGATGAGTTGCAGGATGAAGAAGAAGAAGACACCAAAGAAGAAAAGAAGCACATTTTAAAAATTTATTTTGCAAGTAGAACTCATTCTCAACTTTCACAGTTTCTTGGAGAAATTAAGAGGAGTCCTTTTAACCATCAAGTAACTGTCACAACTCTTGGCTCAAGAACAAATTATTGTATCAATAATGCTGTGTCTAAGTTGAAGAGCTTAAGTTTAATTAATGAGCATTGTTTAGAATTACAGCAGAAAAAAAGTGGTAAAAAATGCCCTTTTTCAAAACAGCTGCCTGATTTACAAAATTCTATTTTAGCCTCTGTTAAAGACATTGAAGATATTGTGGAATTAGGAAAGGAATTAAAATGTTGCCCATATTATTCTACTAGAAATGTTATACCAAATGCGGAAATTGTTCTTTTACCGTATAATGTCTTGCTCCATAAAGCTACGCGTGATGCTTATGGAATATCTTTAAAAGACAATGTTATAATCATTGATGAAGCTCATAATATAGTAGAAGCTATAAATAGTATGTACAGCATTGAGATCTCTTGTCTTACATTGGAACAATCATTTTGGCAGCTAGAATCTTATTTCAATTGTTACCAAAAAAGATTGTCACGTGACAATATCCGTTTCATCAAGTTGTTTATTTCAATTGCGAAATCATTATCAGATGGCTTGAAAAATTTGAAATTATCTAAAGTTCTTTTAGTTAGCGATTTTATTTGCACCACTGATATAAGCAATGTGAATATATTTGAACTTGTTAAATACTCAGAAAAAAGTCTGATATGTCAAAAAGTGCACGGGTTCACTTCCTCCAAAGTAAGCAAAGGTGTATCCCCCCTTAATGATCCACACAGAGGAAGTAAGGAACCTATTCAGATTTCGTCAACAGCTAACTTTCTCTTACAAATTAAGAATAAGCAAGCATGTGTTGAAAAAACCACAACTGATCCCAAAACTATAACTACTGCTCAGTACAAGCCATCTGCAATTTATAGTTTGGTAGAATTTTTAAAAACACTAACATTCCAAACTAAGGATGGACGCATATTAATGAATAAAGGCCCAGTCTTCGAAAAATCCTCACTTAAATTTTTGCACTTAAACCCATCTTCACATTTCCGTGACATTGTGTCTGAAGCCAGATCAGTTGTACTCGCTGGTGGTACAATGCAGCCTATTGAAGAATTTACTGATCGTTTATTCTTACCTGCAGGCGTTCCAAAGGAAAGAATAGACTTTTTTGCATGTGGACATGTCATTCCTTCTGAAAACTTATTAGCAATTGGATTAGCTTCTGGTCCTTGTGGGAATAGGCTAGATTTCACATATAATAATAGAAAGTCTCCATCTACTATTAGAGAACTAGGAAGTACTCTTTTAAACATTTGCAGCACTGTTCGAGGTGGTGTCATATGCTTTTTCCCCTCTTATGACTATGAAGATTTCATTTTTTCTGAACTAACAAAAAGTAAAGTATTGTCATCAATTGAGAAAAAATGCAAAGTTTTCCGAGAACCGAAATCAAGCAGTGACGTTGACAAAGTATTAGGTGATTATGCAAAATGTATCGCAACAGCATGTTCGAATTCCCCATCTACCCTGATGGGGGCTGTGCTATTTAGCATTGTGGGAGGTAAGATGAGTGAGGGTATTAATTTTTCAGACGACCTTGGACGATGCGTAGTGATGGTGGGTCTTCCATATCCCAATAAATTTTCTGTTGAATTACAAGAGAAAATGAGCTATTTAAATCAGCAATCTTCTTCTGGTGGTAAAAGTGCTGGAGATGTTTATTACAATAATCTTTGTATGAAAGCTGTCAATCAATCTATAGGTCGAGCAATTCGGCACAGAAATGATTTTGCTTCAATTGTTTTATTGGATTATAGATATAGTAATAAAATAGTTAAAAACTCTTTGCCTGCATGGATATTTAAAAGTTTATCTTTTCATGAAAAATTTGGCTCGGCTTTTGTCGCATTAAGAAACTTTTTCATCTCAAAGAAAAAGAATTTATAGGTCTAAAATAACTTTAAACTAGCTTTGGATTACATACATATGTGATATTTATTCTATTTTATACTCATGAGACATATAAATTTAATTGACAAATATAATTCACTTTTGTGTAGAATTTTTATGGTATTTGTATATATTTATTTAATCTTCAAAGGAAAATAAATCTATGTTTTACATTTTTTTCAGTTGTAGTTTAACAATGAAAAGAAACAATATATCTTATTGTCTAGTTGCTAAATTGCTGATTTTCTCACTACTGAACTTCAAGTTAAACAAAAAAATTTCCTTGTTGAACTTAAAAGAAATGTACCTTATTCTTATTAATCGTTCAAACAATTTTATCATTTTGCACAAATGCGAACATAAGCATACAAATATATTTTTTAAGTACAGTAGGAAACCGATTATCCGGAAAGATCGGGACCATCGCTATTCCGGATAACTGATTTTTCCGGTTTTCTGAATCGCACAAAAAGCCGTTTTTTTTTATTGTTAAACCGAACTAAAAAAAAAAAAAAAATGGAAATAATCTTAAAAAGAAGAAAAAACGATGAAGTAATACACTAATGATTATTTCCAAAATGATGGTAAGGTAAACATCTTTCAAAATAGAAAGAAAAATCCTAAAATCTTATGAGGAAAAAAAATTTTTTTTTTTTAAATGGCGGGAAAACTTATCGAATTTCGTTCCAGTTTTATTGATTTCCGGATAACGGGTTCTGTACTGTATATTGTTGCTATCTCTGAGGATTTCTGAGGAAAGTATTAGGATAATAAAGTGTGATATGTAAAAAATGACTAGAGTAGAAATCCTACTGACAATAAAACAGTATAATACACCAGTGTTAAAAACTAAAGCATAATTTGGTACAGTTTTTAAGTATGTTGTTGTTATCTCTGTGAATTTCTGAGGAAAATATTAAGATAATAAAGTGTGATATGTAAAAAATGACTAGAGTAGAAATCCTACTGACAATAAAATAGTATAATACACCAGTGTTAAAAAATAAAGCATAATTTGGTTCAGTTTTTAAGTATGTTGTTATCTCTGTGATTTTCTGAGATAAATATTAAGATAATAAAGTGTGATATGTAATAAATGACTAGAGTAGAAATCCTACTGACAATAAAATAGTATAATACACCAGTGTTAAAAAATAAAGCATAATTTGGTTTGGTTTTTAAGTATGTTGTTGTTATCTCTGTGATTTTCTGAGGAAAATATTAAGATAATAAAGTGTGATATGTAAAAAATGACTAGAGTAGAAATCCTACTGACAATAAAATAGTATAATACACCAGTGTTAAAAAATAAAGCATAATTTGGTTCGGTTTTTAAGTATGTTGTTGTTATCTCTGTGATTTTCTGAGGAAAATATTAAGATAATAAAGTGTGATATGTAATAAATGACTAGAGTAGAAATGTAATTGTCTCATTATAATTGATGATCTGTAGAAGTGGTTTATTCTAAGTTTTAATTCTTTAGCCATTGCTATGTGAGTATCAAAAAAAAAAATTTTTTTTTCTTTAAGTAAATAACTTAAGCCTTTAAAAAAAATAATTTGCTCTCCTTTTTTAACTCTATAAAAAATTATGAGACTTTAAGGCACCTGCCCTTCTTATGGCCTGGCTAAGATGTGAGAATATCTTTGAAATTTTAAAAGTAGTAAAACCAATTTTTAAAAAAAATCATTCTAGAAATAGCGAGATAATCAGCCATCAGTGACAAGTCCACAATAAAAAATGGTTCACTATACCTTGAAAGAAAAAAAAAATTCAGCTCATTATTATAGTATTGCTGGAAATAGCGATTACAATAGGTAGATAATTTACTTTATAAATTAATTAACTAAATTTGTTCAGTCCCTTTACAAAGAAATTTTGTAACAGCAAATTTCTTCCAACAGCGTAATTTCTAATTGAAACGTTAAATCAAGATATTTTCTGTTTAACAAAGTGGTTGTCTCCCTGTAACTATTTTTTTTATATTCGTCTTTTTATTTCCATTTATTATGAATGAAGTTGCTTTTGAATTAATATGCACTTTTTCAAATCCCTGTTTCTAGAACCACTCCTATTATTCATTCCACTGAAATGACAGCCGACCAGCCTGTCTAGGGGCTAGGGAATTGTCCTTGCATCCGAAAGGTCCTGGGTTCGAATCCCAGGCAAGGCATGGATGTTTCTTTCTCTCTGTGTGTGTTCTGTGTCCTTTCTCCTTTGTGTGTGAATGTGTATATAGACACAACCCTATAAACGGGTTGTGGTTGTGTGAATGTCGTGGCAGAAGTCGAATTCCTGGCCATAGATGGCGCCACTGAAAAACAGGAACAATCGCACCCTCACTGCATAAAACAGTCATAGGACAAAAAAAAAAACTGAAATAACACATTTTTAAGACTTCTTTGTAGCATGTATTTCTTCATTTTTAATGAAAAGTCATAATTATATACTTTTGAACTTATCTGATAGACTGAAAACTGCGTAACATTTATTTAAAAAACTGCAGAAAGAAAATTTGAGTCCTCTATAAACAAACTGCCTAAGTCTTAGCTGCTCTCTATACACGTTTGAAATAAAAAATAGTTAAATAACATTTCAGACGGAACCACGAAAACGTACACTGCAACCGAGTGTTCTTTATATCCCAGGTTTATTATAGCGAGGTTTAATTGTGCCCAAGCTATGTGCATGAAATATGAGAAGGTAGTATTCTAAGAAGATCACTAACTGCTCTTATAGTTTATAAACCAAACAATAAAAACAAAAGGCATAGGGAGAAACTTATTTGAGAACCCCTGAACGGGAACTAACTCACCACCATATTTTCCTACTGACTGTTATCATTTGTTTTGCCTGCGTCTGAGCCATTTAAAAAAAAAATAAAGAAAGAAACAGTTTTTAAATAAAACCTTATGGTTTTATTCTAATAGTTAACGATACAAGCAAAAAAAGGTGTCAGTTTTTGGATTGCCTGTTATCCTTTTGATCCATAATTTTTATTAAATATATATTTTAATACTGTTTTAATTGTGTATTATATTTAGCATTATAATAATTTATAGTTATGAAATGCAGCATAAAACACCTGTGTCTTTTTCTGCGTTAAAGGTAAAATCATCCAAGCATGGCTCAGTTCCAAACAATAATTTTTCAAATTTGCACTTATTGATCATTGAAATTTCTTTAATTTATTTAAAAATTCAGTTATTGATAAATTTTTAATCTGAATAAAAAAAAATTTTTTTTCAAGCTTTTTTTTGAATTATATATTTTAGTAAAAATATAATTCGATAATCTATCAGATTTTTTTAGTGTCTTATACTTTTTTTATATGGGTATAAATACCAAAATATTTTTTTCGTGTGTAATTAACGCGTCAGAAATTAAGTACATAAAAGGGACTCTGGTGTCCCATTTATGTCAAAGGGTCGTTGATTCCAAGTGCAATTCGAATTCGTATGCTTCCAGACACATGTGAAAAAGTGGTGGCTATAAGGACAGCCAATAATTTGAGTGTTCAATTTGATATTGTTCCTGCATTATCTTCATAATAAATCCTTTAAAACCTTTTTTTCACACCCTTTAATAAACGTATTACAAATAAATATTTCGTTTTAGTCTTGTTTATCAAAGCACCTGCATTGCTCTCAAGTTTTACATGGTTTCTGTGAGTTGTCAGAATCTTATAGCTCTCTTTTGGAGACTCTATGTTCTGTGGTTCTTTTAGAGAAAACACTGAGATTCGGCCATTTATTTACAAAACTAGTTTTATATTCTCTTCTTTTACAACGTAATAAAATTTCTATAACATTTTTCGACATCTTATAATGTTTGCATTTTTTTTTTTTACTTAAGCTTTTTAAATTACACTTTTTGAAAATTTGAGGATGCTTTGACCCCCTTTTAAGGAGATTTAACCTACGTGAATTAAAAGAGTAATTAAAATCAATGAAGCAATTATTAAATTTCTAAAGAAATGTTTAATTACCTAAAGAAATGTTTAAAAAGTTAATAAGTGTGTCCGTAAAAAAATTGTTTACTGATGAAAAGTAACAAATATGAACTGAAATAATGAAATGAACTACATCTGAAGAAAATTTCATTATTTGATTTTTTTCTCGTTTGTTTCTTGATTTTAATACTCCTTAATTATTTTTCATTGTTTTTTTATTTCCTTTTTAACAGGGGTATCTATCACGATTCTTAATTTGGTACGATAACATTTAACAGTTGTACCTAAAATATTTATTTTTAAAGTTACAGGTTAAATTTGAGAATTCTGTCTGAGCTTCTGATAAGAAACCGTTCTTGTCTTGAATTTATTTACAAACAAATATTTAGGACAAAAATAACAGGAAGGGTAGGATGAGTTATTTATGAATTGAGACGTATCATTTTTTAACACCATGACGCTCTCTACACATTAAGAGTTATTATTACTAGTATCTTTTTTTTATTTATCTGTCATCGCTCTTCATTCTTCCGGGAAAATGTCCTAGAAACACTACGCAAGTGTTTCATTGATTAGAAATAACAACTTTCGTGTAATTTTATCAAGTGGACTTTAATGGTTGAATTTCGTGAGAAAATTAAAAAAGGAAGAAAAAAAAAATTGTTAAGACTGTGATTAAGTTATTAGTATAACTTAAAGGAGACAAATTTGATTATATTTAATTTTTTTCTTTTCATTTCCATTCAAAATGAGATTTTTTGAACTTTTACCTTAATCACTATGTAATTAAATACCATTTATTGTAATGTATAAAAGATATATTCGGTCCTCGTCCCATTTTTAAATAATTTTTTCTTATTCATTTTACTATCGTTTAAATTAGTCATTTTTGAAATTTTTTTTCCCTATCACTTTTGTCATAACAGAAAAGAAAAGCAGTTATCTTTAAAAATGCGCAATGAACAACGGATTCGTCGGCGAGTTTTTTTTTTTTTTTTTTTTAAATTCTAAACACAGTTCGAAATGCTTGTTTCAGAAAATGGACACAGCTTAAAATGCGTGTTTCAGAAAATGGTCACAGTTCGAAATTGAAGAAAACGGACAGCTCGAATTTCTTGTTGAAGAAGATGGACACAACTCAAAATGCGTGCTTAAGAAAATAGACACAATGCAAAATGGGTGTTTCAGAAAATGGACACAGTTTGAAATGCGTGTTGAAGAAAACGGACAGCATGAATTTCTTGTTGAAGAAAGTGGACACAACTCAACTCATAATGCGTGCTTAAGAAAATAAACACAATCCAAAATGCGTGTTTAAAAAAAATGAGCACTGCGAAACATGCGCCTTTTCACATATATAAGATGAATCAAACATAGCACTGATTTTCTGGCATGAGTTATTAAATTTTTGAAACTAGCCTTTTTTTAATGATTTGTAAAACTCAAACTTTGACACATTTAGAAACAACTGCTTCAGATGATTGTTAGATTGCAACTCAATTAATTCATGCTGCAAATCCGACCTCACTGTTTCACAATTTACGTTGAAAGGCATGGTAAAAGTATCTAATTCTGTTAGAATTGCACTGAAATATTGATACCTGAAACTAAAAAGGGAGTTTTGTCAAGCCATCCTCATAATTCTTAAGCTTTTCCTTATTTACTGAGGGTATTGAATTTAGCCTCAAGAAATCAGACAAGTCGTTCTTAGCTGGCTACCCGGCAAGTAAATTAAGTTTCAGTTTTAAAGCTTTGAGATGGGCCCAGATATCATCAATGAATTGATTTTTTCCTTGCATCTTAACATTCAAGTTGTTCATATGACAAAGAAGATTTGTGAAAAATGCCATTCTGTATCTTCGAATATAAAATGTAAGTATATTGTTTATATACGCAACGCATCGGCAAGTTGAAATCCTATCCGCGGGGCGGATAAAACCTTCCGCCGGGCCACAGTTGGCCTGCGGGCCGTAGTTTGCCCACCCCTGTCTTAGTGCGTTAAACCATCCTCGAATAGAGAGGCGTGACTGAACTAAAATGCATTTCAAATATTTGATCAAAACACTTAAAAGCATGATTATACTCTCTTTAAAAACATTAATAAAAAATTTAATTTATAATTTAAATACAAAATAATGATGAAAACAGTTGATTTTCTCGTTCTTTTTTTTTTTTTTAAATTTGGAATATCTTTTATTCGAAATCACCTTAAAACCAACAATAAATTAAGAAAAAAAAATAGCAAAGTGTGTTAAATGTAGATGTTATCTTTTTTTTTTTTGTCCTTTGTCAGCAACGAATACATTTTGATGTACTGTTAGATTTTTTTTACTTTATATTACGAAGACATTTAATTGATAAATTTATAGTTTGCAGTATTAGGCGCAAAAGACATTTTATTAGAAAATAAATCGAGTATCACGTGTTCGTATCTTTTCTTCTTAATTGCGTTCTCCATTCTTAAATCCAAGGTTACTTAAAGTGCTAATCAAATCTCGTTCTCCCCATAAATTGAACTTAATAGAACTAAGCAGGTTTACCTGTACTTGATTGTTACAGATTATTCAGAATTTTGTGAAACAATTTGTTTTACTCAAAACTACGTTTTCTTATCATTTTTATACAGTTTTAAGTGGATAAATGTTTGTTATATAAGAAATATTTTTTTAGTGGAGGACAGTGACTTTTTTTTAATGAGTCGAGTTTGGATTAAAAAAGAAACTACCATATTTGCAGTTCAACTTTAGCAGTGAAGCATACAAAAGTATTGAAAGTTCTCAATATTTTTAATATAAGATTGTTCACGACATTTGTGGTTTTAAAACTACGCAAATTAACTTTTTTATCTGATACATTACATAAGTCCATGATCAATGATATTTATTTTGGTAAATCATTTGGAATGCATGCTTGTAAGCACCCCAGTCTAAGTGGGTCCCGAAGATAACTATTTATTTTACCACGTTTACATCAACTTGCCTTCGTGTATGTCTGTTCGGGTGGAATTTTATAATCGATTTTAAACTAACTTTCCGACTAGTTACAGACTTCAAATTTGGCACATAGTTCAAAATTGGATGACAATGCATGAAAATGAAGAGAAAGAAGACATACAAAGTAAAATAAAATGAAAGAAAAACTAATATTTTCGCGATTGTCTTTTGTTGTCGATTCAATTATTTCAAATTAGTCTCACATGTCAGTTGAAAGGTTTTGTGTACAGTGAGTGAAGAAATTGATATTTTGGAAGTGAGTACAAAAAAATAAAATAAAAAATAATATTTTTAAAAATCACGCTTTTGTAGTGGAGAATAATAATTAAAAAATAAAAATTTGAAAAACGAAAAACGTGGGGTGCATGAATTACATAACAGTACATATTATACACATTTTCTTACTCATTCACATGCACATACACATGCATATACACAAACATATTCCACATCCACATTCAGATACTATTACAATTACAGATATACATACACATATTCTCATGAGCACACACTAATATAACATTACTGTTATGTATTTCATGCGCACCACGTTTTTCAAATTTTTATTTTTTAATTATTATTCTCCACTACAAAAGTATTATTATTATTTATTTATATTTTATATATATTATTATTATTATTTTGATATTATTTTTATTTTGATTTTTAAGTATGACATTTGACAAAACATTATATAATTTATAAATAATTAATTTAATGATTTGGTACGTTATCCAAAACCGTACTCAATTTTAAAAGTTTTCGTATAAATACTCGATTTTCTGGACTTCTGCACGTATTGCAAAATAATACAGTGTAGAATGGTGTAGTGAATAAAAAGGCCATAATTAGTAACAATCAAATTTAATAAATGATAACAAAAAACAAACAAATATGATGATGTGATAATTGTCTATATTATTTGGCTTCCCAATAAGCCTTCCATACCAAGCCATTGCCTGCCCACAAGTGATACATATTCATAACTTTTAGAATGATCACAACGCCCTCTATTGGTCAGGCAGAAATTCGTAACAGGGCTCCAAAATAAGTATTGTGCCGAGAGAACCAGGATCAGTAAATTATTTTAATTATGCGTGAACTGATTAAATGATTTTTCGATCCTGGAAAATTCTATATATGTTACAAGAATAATTATGGAGTATTAATTATTAATAACTGCTAAAAAATAACACTTATTTGTTTCAGTTTGAAACACAACCATTGTTAGTTTCAGAAATACGCAAGAGCGTGACAGCATAGTTTTGAATTATTTGTACTTAAACAAATACGCTAAAATATCTATAAATGTTATATTGGAATAACCTAAGTGCTTTTTTTCTATGTGATCCCATCTGATAAATTGCATTGCTTATAACCCATAATTAATTGTATAAAAACTATTTATTTATTTATTCAACTATACAATTTAATTTATTAAGTTTTTAGTCCAAATCAAACAGAATTTTCATGTTATTTTTTTTTCCTTTCCGAGTTGTTTAGTTTCCTTAATTTTTGTTCTTTAAAGAGTCGCGTTTGCTACCATGTTTGGTAACAGACACGAGAAATATGGTAACAGGTTATTTATAAGGTTTTATTTTAAAAATTTAAATTTATTTTCTATTACTGTAGACGCCGCTTAATGTGATCACGGTTAATGTTATCAAACGTTTAATGTTATCAAAATCGCTTAGTCCCGTCCGCTTAGATCAAAATACATTGAAAAATCCTCGTTTATTGTAATCAAATGTTCGTTTATTGTTATCAGTTTAGAGGTAAATTTTATTTTCCTGAAATCAATAAAAACAAGAAGGAAAACTTTTTTTTGTGTTTTGTGAAGTGTTTCCTGAAACTTACCAAAAGTGCAAACGGGGCTCGTATATTATCTTTTAAACACGTGTTATTATGAGGGGGGGGGGGGTATTTTGCCATTTTCGGTAAAGCATTGTAAAATTCCGTAGCACTGTGCGATTTCAAATTCCCGGAAATCCTAAATAAAGAGAAAAGAAGACCTGCCACTAACGAGTCAATGTTTGTCACGAGCCCCTTTTTAGAAGAACTAAACAATGTGACAGATGATATGTCCCAGCCACTATGGGAAGGGGGTAAGGGGTGACCTTCAAAAGAGAACATTGTTTCGGGTATGCCACTTGACCTTGGCAGGTCGCTTAGCCAGTCGCTATTGGTCAAACAATAAAATTGGGGGGGTAGTGAAACTGCCTCATCTAAGTGCTTAAAAGACGCATGTAGAAGATCAGCATACATTTTCACTTTACCATAGTTCATACGGTTTGTAACCTGATTTGTTTTTTATAATGGAAAGGAAACGGAGAGATCTTACTGTGAAAGAAAAGGTTGACATTTTAAATCGTTACGATAAATTGCCAAAAATGAGCCAAAGGAATGCTGCTGTTCAATTGAAAGTTTCGCAGCCGCTTTTGTGCAAAATTTTAAAAAATCGTGAAGATATCGAAAAAAAGTGCACTTTGAACGAAAATCTGAATTGTAAAAGAAATCGAGATGGAAAAGACAAAGAGGTTGAATCTGCATTAAAACTCTGGTTCACAAACGTTCGTGAGAGGGACGCTCGTGTTAATGGTCCAATTTTGCGCCAAAAAGCTGAAGATTTAGCTGCAAAATTGGGTAAAGGAAACTTCGTAGCCACAGAAGGATGGTTCCACCGCTGGAAAAAGAGGCAGAACATACTCTTCCGAAGGACACATGGTGAACAAAAAGATGCCGATAATGTAGCCGCAGATCAGTGGATTAAAGAAGAATGGCCTAAACTTATTGCCGTATATTCACATGAAGATGTATATAACGCAGATGAAACTGGCCTATATTTTCGTGCGTTGCCTGAACACACCTACATGTTTCAGAAGGAAAGTACGCAAGGGTGTAAAACCTCCAAGGAACGCCTAACTGTGCTATGTTGCGCTAGTATGACCGGCACTAAAGAAAAACTTTTAGTGATTGGAAAAAGTAAGAAGCCCCGCTGTTTCAAAGGTGTGAAAAATCTGCCCGTCGATTATTTTGCCAACAAAACGGCGTGGATGACTACCACCATCTTTAACGAATGGCTGTTGAAATGGGACAAGCGACTAAAACGGAACATACTCCTGCTCATAGACAACTGCACTGCGCATGATGTAACTGTTTCATTAAAAAAGATAAATATCGTGTTCTTACCACCAAACACCACTTCTTTAATTCAACCGTGTGACCAGGGAATTATCCGCACCTTGAAGGCATATTACAGAAAGGAAATGCGTTCAAGGATCTTAGAAAATATGGAAGACCAAGACGCTGAAGATCTTAATGCGAACGCTCTAGCCAAAAAAACAAATGTTTTGGATGCCATACATTTGTTAACAATGTCATGGAATAATGTCTCGGAAAAAACAATTCGAAATTGTTTTAGTCATGGAGGATTTTGTCAACCAGAGGACAACAATGCTGCTGTAATGAAAGAAATGGAAGACGTTTTCAATCCCCCGCCCGATATGAATGCTGAGGATTTTGAAGCATGGATGGAGATCGACGAGAAGGTTGAGACTTCTACTTCGTTAACTGATGAGGACATTTGCGAAGCCGTATGTGTCAAAGATCCAGCTTCGTCACAAGATTCTGATGCCGATGATGAACCCGAAAGTGCTATCGAGGACAAAATTCCGACGCCTGCTCAGATGAGGGAGGCACTTCGAGTCTTACGGCTAGGTGTGCAAAACAAAGCCGACGCGGAACACTTTCATAAACATTATGATTATGAGCGATTCGTAAATGACTTGCTTCGAAAGAATGCTAAACAATCGACAATTGATGATTTCTTTTTCAGCTTATAATTAACCTTTTGTATTTTGTATTGTTTTCTGCAGTTTATCTTTAAATATGTGAGTATACTAATTCTTTTTCTTTAGTGTACATTAATTTCTATTAAATACTTTAGAGTCTTACAGCAACAACTCCTAATTTAAAATAATTTTTATTTTAATACGTAAGTAAAAAAATCATTTTTTAGCTTAATTTTTTTTGTTTATTGTAATCAATCGGCTATTGTTATCAAATCATGTTCGTCCCGATGTGATCACATTAAGCGGCGTCTACTGTAGTAATATTTAAATAGTTATATATGAATTGTTTTTTGTTCAGAATATGTAGAAAATAATAGTAATAATTATTAGTAATTGTCATATTAGTAATAATAATAGTAATTGTCATTTCTATTGCCATTAATGGCAATAGAATTGACAATTTTCATAGAGTCTGATCATACGCTTAGAAAAATTTAGTGAAATATTTAAAAAGTACGGAAGAAATAAGTGCGCTTAATTATTTTTAAAAATTACTTTATTTTCGTATAGCAATATTTTTTTCCTTTTTAATTTACAAATGACAGACAGAGAACTTAAATGATCCTACTAATAAGTTTTATACCTACTGATTGCAGATGATTTTGCAATTATGTATCAAAAAAGAAAAAAAATAAGAACGAGGATTTATTAGCGGAATTAGATATCAGATATGAAAAATCTAAACTATGTTTTTCACATGTTTTTTTGTTTGCTTTCATTAATGCAATTATTGCATCATATGAGATAATATACGTAAACACAAACATCGTAAAACCAAACGAAACTCTAGGCAAAATTGGGAATTTCAGTCAAAAAAAAAAAAAAAAAAAAAAAAAAAAAAAAAAAAAAAAAAAANAAGAGTGCTAGAATTGAAGAGCATTCCAAAACTGGAACTTGAAAATTTCTTGCTGAACAGTTTACAGACGAGTACAAAAGTGCATTACAGATAAGGTAGTGATTAATTCAAAATGAATTAAAGGAGAATGTAATTCACTTTACATTTAAATATACGTTTTAAAATTACATTTATAAAATTAAACAATGCAAGCATATTCCCAGATAGAAGAGTAAGGTTAATTTTAATGTCAGCAACAACCTTTATCACAACCCAGGTAGAAAAAAAGATATGATCTAATGTTAGAAAGATGCAATATAATACTGCTGTGCTAGAAAACGAAAGACTCTTGAATCCTTTCTTCTAATATTAGAACTAATATGATATAAGATTATATAGTATTCGATCTAACATTCGAAGTTTCAAAATAATCATCTATTTCATTACTTTTGGTACAGCGCCACATTTTTACGAAATGTTATCCCATATTATTGCATTTAAAACCCAGCAAGGTTTATAAATGATTAGCAAATAAACCTTTCAAGCTTGAAACAATGTCAAATTTAACTCTGCTAGTTTACGCGCTATGAGATCCGCATTAAGCTTGCATAAACTACCCTTATATATCGAGATAGAATCTACCTTTACAAAACAAGGCTAGAAAAACCTTCTGAATTCGAGATGAATGATTATTCACAAATCAAGAGTATAGAAAGCTTTTTCACACCCAAGATAAATTTACCTTCTCAAGGTAAATTTATCTTGAGAATTACTGCGCAAATAAACAAGGCTTATTTGCGCAGTCTCTTATATGTGTTGGCCTGATCATTAAATTTTCAACACAAGCAAAATATTGCATATGAAAGCCTGGATGAAGCAAAAACGAAAAAAAAAAAGAGCACAAGCAAGATTTACAGTATCTATTACACTATCTATGTCAAACAAATAAAAATGAAAATACAACGTGTGCTGTAAAGGTTGCAGCTATCTTGGATTATGTATGAATTTTATGCATTCATGCAAATTTGAAAAATATTTTTAAGATTAAATTGGATAAAATGGGTAGTGAGGTAAAGTAGGAATGGTATTCTTTTTTGTTTATTTTATTTTATATTAGGATATATAATGCAAATTTAAAAAAAAATTTAAATTGAGTATACATTTTCCTACAGGATTATACAAGTTTCAGAGTACAAAACAAGGTGTTTTCTTTTTCTTGTAGGAATATATGTTAGTATTCTATCTTCTCAACAAAAAAAAAATGTTTGTATTTTATATCCGTTAAAAACTTTATAATAATGGTTTTTCTTTACATTTTGAATACAATTTCCTTCTAACGTACATCTAAAACAGCCGCTTATGTTAAATGTATCACAATCAAATAAAGTGTATATTTTAATATATATTCTTTATCCTATTAGCATTTTTGTTTAACAGTTCAGCTTACAATTTTTTTAAAATTAATTAACGGACTCTATGAATCGAAATTTGATTGAATTTTCTAGCATTAAAACTGGCGTTTAAGAGCTTCTTTAGTTGTCTAAACATTTTTTGTAATAACAAAAACATCAACCAAAGTTGACTAATTTGTTCAGTAACAGTATTTAAACCTTTAAAATGGCTGGCAATAATTTATTTTTTTCACACCTGTTAATAATTCAAACTTTCTTTTCCCCAGTCATTTTCAAGTTTCACATTTTTATTTTATTTAACCCATTTAGTAAAGTGATTAGAAATATTTCCTTTGGCGATGTTTTCCTGGAATTTTTCAAAGTTAGTATTTCCGATTATAAGACGACGCCTCAACTTAAGCTTTAAACATTTTCTTTTGTCGATGTTTTCCTGGAATTTTTTAAAGTTAGTATTTCCGATTTTAAGACGACCCCTCAACTTAAGCTTTAAAAATTTTTTTGAAGATCTCGGTAAATATTTAAAGAAATTCTCGGCAGATACATATAATTAGAACTAATTTAAAATAATAAAGTAAATATTTGAAACTTCTTTATAAATAATCGTGGTTTTTGCTATCGTACTTAGAGAAGTTCAATAAAACGGAATTAAATAAATTAACAGCTTATTATTTTATTTATAATCACCAGTGAACAATAAATATCCGTACTGAACTATTCTCTCAGATGAGTTATGAATTTTAATGTTCAGCTCAATTACTTGAAAATTTTGAAACCACGAAAACCTTCCATGGTTAGTCCAACTACGGTATTGGAAGTCTAAGTAAGGTAAACTAAGTATTCTCCAGCATGGGAATTAACCAGTAGTTCACTGGGCTTTGATAATGGGTTGCGCTCTATTATCAGAACTTTAACTACTTTTAAAAATCTAAATTTGAACTCAGAATACAAGAGTTTCGAACGGCACAGTGCGACCAAAAAAACTTTTAAAATTAAATTACTGATTAAAGCGTTAAAGGAATGAACTATGAAATCTTTTATCATAATAGTAAAATGGATTACTGCATAAATCTTAAGGTCTTAAGGTCTTTTTTATCTTAATTGATCATTGCAAATATTATATATTAATCGAGGCATGTTTTTTCATAATTAATTCAAGTAACTAAAACTTCAAGCTTTATTTTATACGCAAAAAAAAATAATTGAGCAATAAATATCACGATTTTACAATATTAATGTAAAAGGATAAGTTTTTTTTTAACACAAAAATTCTTTAAAGCTTAGAGGTTAACAATAAATCATTATCCAAACAACTATAAATTATGTTTAGAGGAGAACAAAACAATAATAAAAACCCGACAATATATAATAGAAGTTTTTTCTTTAACATAAGATGTCATAATAATCATAATTTCCGGACGAATCGATGAAACATTTTTCATGATATCGCTAGTCACACGAAGGCCATTGATGTGCAGAAACAGGCATTGAAAGGCTCAAAAATGTCGGAAGCCGATTCTATCGACCTTAGAGTCGATGACAGATTTTCCAGCTAAGCCGATAATAATAACAGTAAATAATTCCTCCTACCTACTAAATAAGCGGTGATGTTTAGAATGGGCCTTCGTTTTGTATCTGTCTTCCTTTTTCTGCTGTCGATTTAAGCACCAGTATTGATGGAGTAAAAACGCAATATATTTAGTTTTGTAATCGACATTGATAGTAGAGCTTTATTCTGTGATCTTTTACTGCTATTTTTCTTCTTATGTGAATGAGGCTTTCTTTTTTACCATAAACAATGTTTTATCAAATATATCAAGGATGGATAAATGCAAGTTCAATTGATTTGTATTCCAAGGGGAAAAAAAAGAAGGCAATAAATAACAAATAAAAAAAGTAAAAATAGCGTCAAATTCTTTGATTCCGATATTAGAGACAGAAAAATGATATGCAGTAAAATATTCCGGAACAAAGTACGGTAAAAGTACCGACCACCAGAGTGCCGATATTTTTTACCGTAAAATCAATTTTTACAGGAATATATGTTGTGGAACAAAAAATTTATTCACCGTTGTTTTTACAGTAATAATCACAGTAAAATGACTGAATCACTCCAGTTAAATAAATATTATTGTGAAAATTACGGTACTATAGTATTTTACGGTGAAAATGGATTTTACTTATGTTGCATCCAAAGTGCCGATACATACTGTAATTTGATCCAGATTTTTCTTTTTTTACAGTGTGACATGCTTTTTATGTCTGATCTGTTCATTTATACAAACTACGTTTTTTAATTTCAAAATAATTACCTAGTATGTTTTTTATAACTATAATACCTAATGTGAATAACTTTGAAAATCATTTTAAAGAAACCATATATTTTAATTTTAAGAAAAATTGTATGGATTTTTCTTGTTGCCAAAATGTGTTACTTATCATATGATTTTGAAGAAAGGTATTCATTTTGAAATTATTTCTTCCGACGGAAAAATACAAAAATCTGAAGCATTAATGGTTGGATGCAAAAAAACTCTCTTTAAGAAACAAGCCAGTCAGCAAAACTAAATAATAATTATTTGAATTTTTTCTTACCAAAATGTGTTGTTTATCATATGACATTTTTGAAAGATATTTATTTTGAAATTATTTCTTCTGAAGGGAAAATGCAAAAATTAATCAAAATACAAAAAGCGTGTTAAATAAAGAAGCTTGACATTTTTTTTTCTCGAAAATTTTAGAACGATTTAAAAAACATCACA